CACTTCATATTTACAGTCATTTCATGTAGTTAATTTACACAGTACGTAATGGAATACAGTCCGATAACAAACAAGAAAAAAAAATAACATTTTACGCAGTATGGTTCAGGACGAGGTCGTCCCCCGGGAGAAGCTAGTTTGATAAACACTTGTTACATGATTGGTTTGGTTGCAACTGCCATTAGCTTCACCAACCCGAGACTTTAATGATTTAAAGGGCAATGGTTGGGGGATACGTCTTCAAATAGGTACCCAGTGTTGCACATGCGTCATATTCATCAACTTATTGATATTAAATACCATTACTGAATAACAAAAAAGGCCCCAATACCGTGACTGGAACGGTACACAAATAACCCCCACATAAAAGGGAGAAGCTTACGACGACGTTTCGGTCCGACTTGGGCATTTACAAAGTCACCTTACCAGAAGTGGAGCAGGACGGCTATATATAGGCAGGAAGAGGTGGTGGTGGTATCTAGTTTAGTAGTTGTAGTAGTAGTAGTGTAGTAGTAGTAGTAGTAGTAGTAGTGGTAGTAGTAGAGTTGTAGTTGTGGTAGTAGTGTGGAAAATAAGGAGGAGGGTGCCAGTCAAATACGAAGGAAGGGAGCTCTGCTAGGGAGCTAGGTGCCATTTCCCTTTACCAACCTCTGAGAGCTTGCTCTTCCCTATGTGGGAACTAGTTCTACTATACTTACTACTTCTACTACTACTTATACTAATACTCTTCTAACACACTCCACCACCTATCTGCCTATATATAGCCGTCCTGCTCCTCCAATTCTGGTTAGTGTGACTTTGTAAATGGTCAAGTCGGACCGAAAACGTCGCGTAAACTCTCTCTCTTTTATGTGCGTGTTATTTGAGTTATATACCAGTACTGCTTTGATATTGTTCTAGGTATACAAGGTATACGAGATGCCTAAGAGAACCTAAGATTGCTGTTGACCCTACTATTTTGACGCCAAAGGAGCCAGGAGCTTGAATCAATCTCCTGCAACCACAAATAGGTGGAGTAAAACCCACACAACACACACTCAAAATAATATGGAACACCTGCTGTTGGAGTTGTCGAACTGTCGACTGACGACCGTCGAATGCCTGAATATACCAAATTTAAATGTGTTACAGAGTTCCTTTTTTGTGGTTTCTTTTCAAACCACATATTCATACATTTCTGAACGAAGCAAAAACAGAACGAAAGACGTCAAGAACTCCAGAGGTGGGGGACACATTGTTGGAGCGCGGAAAGTCCTGGAGCATCGGTCACCCAAAACTGCTGAAATGCTCCATGTTTCAGAGTAATTGTCGCTATGGTCCATGTCTTCTGCATTCCCCAAAATGATCATAAGACATGCTCCAACAAAAACAATATGGAGGCAAAAAAAGAAGCTGGGTGACCGGGACCGGTCGAATATTTAAGTGTATGCGTCAAAATGTCATAAGACTTATAGATGCAAAAGTGACTGACAGAGCTAAATCAGAATCTTGCAAAACAAGGGTTTTTCAACTAATACCTTTCCTTTTCATAGGAAATACTGCCAAAGGCGAGATGGTATAATGACCAAAAGGATTGGGAAATTGGACCTAATGGAATAAACGTTATGTATTTCGACATATTTCCTTTGCGCCTTTTCCCAACTTCTGGAGAGGTTATGTCTGGAGACAGGACTAAAGAAATTATAATATGATGTTTGGAGGCGAATCCGCGATTGATGGGCCAACGATATGTGGAAATCTCTTGGCGGTGTTAGTACTGCATGGTAGGGCTAACGGCAAGTGCATTCCCCGTTACATACACTTTTTCCTATTGGCGGAGCTATCTTCCAAGACGATAATACACCAATTCACTCGCTAGAAGCTATTAAAATAGGCTTCATGAAGGACATGGAGTGATCGTATAGAACATTGGATTGGCACAACAAAACGCCAGATTCCAATATTATCGTAAACATTTGTTGGGGTCAATTGGAAGAGACAAGTCTGGGGAAACCGATTTCCTGAATTGCGTGGAGGCTTTTGTGAGCGGGTTTCTGACGCCCTTCCTCGCTATTTGTCTGGCCGAGCTGGTTCGGTTGATGTGAGGTTGCAATCCGGAGCGCTGGTTTACTGCATGAGGGTTAGGGTATGGCACAGGTTACCACGCCTGCATCGGCAGTTCTTGCTGGGCCGATGGTCCTCTCGGATATGAGAGGGGGGTACTTGTGGCCCTTTCATGCCTTATAGTGACTGTCCCTCGCTGTCCCCCTTTTTTTCCTTTCTTTTTGTTTCTTTAAATAATAAGAAGACGTCCCAATATCATGGAGTCTTTGTTCTGTGAAGGAAACCTCCTCCTCCCTGGAACTTTCTGTTCCTGCAGCCTGTTCTGACCGGGTCTTGTTATTGACCAGTCTCTAGCACTCTTACCATACCCCTGCACCTTCTGATGGTGACACTCCGTCATCTGCCTCGGCCATCTTGCACGCATTAACTCTGCGTCCGGCTTCCCGAATTGGTACTGATGGTTTCAAATCACCCACCTTCCTTGGATCGGGACTCCCATAGTACTACAACCTTTAAAAGTTCAGATAATTTGGTGACGACTGTTCTGCGATGTTCTGCACTCATTTCACCCGAAAAACGACCTACGCGACACCATTTCCTTTACGCACTATGTTTACAATAGTATGCATTGAATAATTTCTTTTCTTCTAATGACATCTGGTATAGATTCTTTTACGTCACGTTGGCCAAACTTATCTTTTCTCGCTCTTCGTAGTGGATGCTGCATCAGTATAGTTCAGGTGCAGAACATGGCTCATGATCGTTGCCCCATTGATTTCCATGCATAACATTCAATAATAGTAAATTTTTAGCATTGCTAATTCATTCTTGCAGTGGTACGGTGGGTTTTTCCGAGCCGTACCAATGTACAAAGTGATTTTCTGTCTTGCGAGGATGATATTTGGGAGCAATTAGTCCTTCATGATCTTCATTATTCTCAGAGTGGATACATAGTCCTGCCCGTCAAAGGCGGAGGCGATTACTGTAACATCGCCTGCTTAACTACGACTGCCGTGGAACTCCCGTCTCCGTTTGTATTGAGGGGCCATCGCTATAGATGTTCGTTAAAGTGGTCCCTACCCCCAGCAGTGTCGTAAATGTTGGCGTTTTGAACACCCCGATAAATTCTGAGATCGCAGTGTGCCCGGTCCTGCGCGTGCCGTAGGATGTTACCAATTACATCTTGCAATATTTCTCCCACTTGTCTCAATTGCATTTGAACCTCATCCTCCATTTTTCCAGCCGGTGTCGGTCTATTGTAATGAATGAGAAATCGTTCATTGTCTTAAGGAAAAGAGAAGGCCTTACTTGTGCAATGGCTATCTCTCGGCTCCGCCTTCAGGGGATCTTCCTCATAATCCCTTATTCGCGAAAGAGTTAGCGGGGTACCTCAAACATGGGCGGTCCCCCGCTACCAATTCCTCGGTGTTGTGTCTTCCGGTACTCTCCTCCATTCTAATTCGTTTTTTTCTGTTTTACCCTCTGAATATCCACCTCTTACCTACTTCCACCCCTTTTCTCCTAACGTTGATTCCCTTTCCACTAGTGTTTATATCCACAGGCACTATTTTCTACACTACGGCGCTGTATAACCCATGTCGGGTTGCGCTTTCAATGATTATAGGCATAATAATTCTATGCCCTGGTGGAGGAGATGGTTGAGAGTCGGGACTCTCAATTTACAGGACTGCGGTTCGCGCTCCATTGTCCATAGTACATAATGGACAAAAGGGAGCCAGGTGTATAGCTCAGTCAGAAAACGAATTTAAAAGCTATAAATGATGAAATTTGGTAAATGTGAGGAGAATTTGTGTCTCTATTCTTGCGATCGTAATCTTGCTTACTTGGGTTTTAACAATATAAGAGCATAAGAACATAAGATAAGAAGGGACACTGCAACTGGCCTACTGGACCATGCTGAGCAGAGCAGAGGTCCTTGTCCCCCCCCCCGGATTTGACCAGTGACCCCAGGATTTACGCCCAATGACCCCCCCGGATTAGCCAATGACCCACAGTATGGGACACCTCCACTCAAGGATGGAGCACGGCAACAGAACCCGCAGCTCAAGTTAGTCTGGTCTAACTCATTCCCACCCACATTCGGGATTTTTGTTCCACTCATCCACGACTCTGTTACCAAACCAGTGCTTTCCTATATCCTTCCTGAATGTGAATTTTTCCAACTTGAAACCATTGCTGCGAGTTTAGGCTTCGCATAATATATGATTTACAAATATGTGTGCATTAGACGTAATTGAGTGGAATGAAGTGGTCCATGGGAATTGAATGCTTCTGATGAATGAAGTGGGCCATGGGAGTTGAATGTTGCTGATGAATGAAGTGGTCCATGGGAGTTGAATGTTGCTGATGAATGAAGAGTGATATATAAAGAGACTTCAAACAACCGGTTGATGGACTGTACTCTTAAAACTGGAAAGGAGAAATTTTTCTTCCATGATCCAACCGTGGCGTCTATGCAAATTAGGAAAAGCAAATACAGGGAGGCCCCGCTTTTCAGCACTTCGCTGTACAGCGCTTCGCCAATGCAGTGGTTTTCAATTATTCCCATTCTTCATTTAAGGTAAGTAATGCATGTACTGTGTATGAATTTTTTTAGGCCTAGCTCTATTGCTCACTTGATATATGATGATGGAAACATGTTATCAGGCTTTTATATGCATTTGAAAGTGATATGTTCCACTTCACAGCAGTAGCCCAGACCCTAACCTGCTGTACAAGCGGGGCCCACCTGTAAACAAGTGATAGTAACAGTTTTCTTCACTCTACCTTGGTAGAGCTCTGTTTTATTTACATTATATTCACGCTTATTAATGCCATAATTTTGCTAATTTTGGACAAAGTTGGTTGACTGCGTGACAGTCAACCAACGACACTTTTAATTTATTTCCAGGAAGGTGAACGACGTTGAGAGGAAATTCGTTAATGAATCCAGATAATGCAGTTTTATATATATTTATTCCCATAAATAGATTGAAACAGTAATGTTTTGAAAGAAGCAATTAGTGCATTAATGCATATATGTGAGAATATACTTCAATCTTTATTATCCTGTTTTAATTGGCTAATAATTTACAATGTCTCCATTATTTATTTCAGGTAGCGACGGAAAATTCCTCGCAGATGAAGGGTCCGTGAGAAGTGCAACTGTAATCAAAAAAATACCCTGTGTATTGCTGCAGGGCCAAGCAGTTCAGAGTTGTATTAAGCAGAGGGTGTCCAGGATACCAGAATGGGGTACTCACAGGTACAGTATCACCGGTTAACCAGTGCCAGTCGCTTTCTTCATATGAATCAGTGCCACCTATCCAGTGCCACAGTGGGCTATCTACAGTGAAAAGTAAATTTTAAATAAATGAGACTTCATAATCTATGCAAATCAAAGTTGTTCGAAAGAAATTAGGACATGAGAGAGTAATATTAGTTTGTAAAGTGAACAAAACTACACACAAACACACCATCCGTGCAACCACATATAGGTAAATACACACACACACACACACACACACACACACACACACACACACACACACACACACACACACACACACACACACACAATAAAAGAAGGCAAAGTATCAGTTAGTTTCGCCTACACAGTAGGCTTCTTCCCTTGAATACAGAGGAGACAACAGTAACAGTCTCCTCCATTTACAACTGAAGAAGCCTATTGTGCATGTGAAAAGTTTCGGAATGAAGATACCTAATAGTTGCACATTTGTCTTACATAACTACTTATCGGTATTGTATACCATAGTTATATAATTATACAGTATTCGATAATATAACGAATGTAAAAATGCTAACTGGGAGAAACATTGATTGCAGTTCAGTAAATGTCCTAAAATATTGCATGTTTTTCCCACTTGATATAAAGAACTCCATTAGTACTAGTTATACAACTTTTTTTTTTTATATATTTTATTTAAAATAATTTTACTTTAATGTAAGAAAACTGTCACAAAAAACCAATCAAAAAACAACAAAATTAAAGTACAACATACGTTACCAATAAAAAAGAAAAAAAAACTTCACACGGGGTTTACCAAACAAATATCCGGGAAAAATCACTTCGCACACTTAAACATCTTATGCCAAGTTTTATATACAAAACAATTTTTAAAGGTAAAAACCTCACCACAAACATTAAAAACCTTACACCCCACCCCCCACCAAAGGGACATTTTAAAGTCGTACATATGGCTCTGAAGAAAGGTCCCCCCCCCCCCCCTTCATCAAATACAAAAAAAACATTGACATACTATAAGACGCAGGATACTACTTGTCAAAGTAACGTTATGTAAACTTTGCCTAGCAAAAGGATAATATACTTTTTCTCAAACACGGGTGAAAACCCCCCAAGAACTTTTTCATAACTTTTATCCCTATAGCAGTATTAATAAAAAAAATTTACACCCCCCTACTTGAACTATTTGCAACCTGACCCCAAAAAAGTCATCTAAAATGTGTTTTTACACAAAATCAATATACATTTTTATATTCCTTAATATACTTTAATGTGACTTTAAACATTAAAATAGAAAAAGGGAAACCAACAGGGTACTTAAAATATATAACACTCCCCTGCAATCAGGTCACACAAACTGTACTATATAATCTTAACCCGGGCCACGAAACATTATATGTTAGGCCTTATGTGCCAAAAATAAAACTCGTAATAAAAACTGTACCACTTACTCTTACAGCATTTAAACTTCGAACCTTCAATATACGAAATTGTGTTTTAAAAGAAGACCCAAACAAAAGAAAACCCGGATTTGTTAAAGCTATTAAATACGTATAGGGGCCATCCCTTTAGTAACACCAGTAGTATGGGTTTCTATAATTCTTGAAGACAACCACTAACGAACGTCTTTCCCCAAAAAAAATTTTAAGATTTACCCTTTCATTCCCCTTGTATACAACAAGATTAGTGCTCCAATTTTACGTACATATACTATCCAAAATCTTCCAACAAAAAGGGGAACACATGGTAAAAAAACACCCACACCCCACCACATCGGGAAAAAGAAAATGTATCAGTGCAAACCCTCAACACTTTAAAAGCCACACACATCCCCGCTCCAAAAACTACCCGGGGTCGCTCCCCCTTTACACTTAAATCCCGTAAACCCTTTAACTTAAAACTCCGGTACCCCTCAGTAAACACTGTTCCCCCCTTTCCCCCAAAAGCCCTAGGGGACACTTAGTTCTAAAAAAGGGGGCCCGCTAACCCCTTTATTCTTTCATCCACCCCCACCTCCCCACCCCACCTCCTCACACCCACCTCCCCACACCACCTCCCTAACCCACCTCCTCACACCCACCCCCCCCATAGCCCAAGAGTATAATAAAATCAGAAACCCACATAGAAACCGATTCCCCACCATCTGACTCATCCCCCCTATATCAAAACTTAACACCCTTAACACCGAAACCCTTCCCCCCCCACTAACCAAACCCTACCTACCTTTTACCCTCACAGCTTCTAGAAAATAAAAAATCACAGCATGAAAAATAGCTGGGAACATCCACACGCTTTGCACCCCCCCACCCCCCCCTTGTCTCCTTTTAAAAACACAAACCAGACGCAAGATTCCATGTAGAAACCAAAACATTACCTCCCCACCCTGGTTTAATAGAAATTGCCGAAAAACTTTTCCAGATACCCCCCACGCATACATGGGGTATCCCCCCCTCAACTCCCGCCAAATGCCCCCCCCCCCCACCCTCTCTAGAACCCCAAATTTTAAAGGGGCGCTTGGGACCCCTCACCGTCTTTAAAACCTCAAAGGGCCTCACCAATCATTAAATCCTTACCCCCCCCACCATGTGATATCCATACGCATTTTTTTTCTAGCCCCCCTCCTCGCCCCCACCTCCCTCAAATCCCCTCGTTTTAGATAACACCACATACGCTTTTCTAAAGGTATAAGCCCCACCCCCCCTGGCAACGAAAAAGCATAAACCCCCCCCTCACTTAGCCAGTACAACCCCGATCCCCAAAAAAAATCTGAAAACCCCAGTTAAAACCGTTGCCCTCTCGCCGCCCAGTGGGTATATTGCCACCACGGCCATATCTTACTATACAACGGGAGTTCGTCACAATGACCCTTGATGCAACGTTAGCTCGCCGTCCCAAACCCCCAAAATTTTTTCACTCCCCAAACCCATGGCACGAATTTCCTCTCGTGCGCCCCTATCTTCTTAGCGACCTACCCCCAAAAATAATAGCTGACCCACCACACTAACCCGCGCCCACAGCCCCACCTCTATTTACGTTACTCCCAAATTTAATTTCCTCCCATTTACCACGCCAAAACTTTACCATTTTCCTACCTTGGAAACCCTTTCCCCCCTCCCCAATCGTTGTATCACCCCACATAACCCAAAACCCCCGGTACCCTCCGTTCTTAAAACCCCCTCCCTTGCGTACTCCCCCTAACTGCCCTATAAAAGGGGACCCTGGGGGCACGCAAACAAAATTTGCGATGAGGGAAACCCCCTGTCGCAAACCCCTTCCCATTGAATGTTAACCCCTACCTTCCATTAACCTGTCTTCATAGATGCTCCCTGATCAAGTTTTCCCCCAAAGATATAATTTTCCCTTTCCCCAAACCCCTTGCCAACCATGAACCTCCAAAACGCACCCTCTCCACACATCGAAGCAGCTCGCCAACCAATGCCAACACACCCCCCCCCCCCAACTCCCCCTCTGTTCTATAAAACTTCTAAGAACTCCTCCCCTTTATCATTGTCCACCCGGTACCCCATTTGTCCTCTGTCAATTTTACCTATCCCCTTTTTTTTTTATTCCATATCCGTGCAAATAATTTATAACGCCAACATAAGCGATATTCCCGGGAAATTCCCCTTTCCGTATCTGTCCCCCTTTTGGGAAAATAATACCACGAAAAAGCATCCTTTGCTCCCCCCCATTTCCCATCATCCTTCATTACATTGAATAACCTAATAAAAAACTTCTCATACTTCCTTTCCCCAAACGTAAAAATATTGGGAACCTACTACACCTGCGCCTTACCAAACTTGAACCAGACAAAGCGTGCAAATTCATTTCCCCTGATCGGACCTTCTAATTTACCCTTCTATCCATCAATCTCACTTGCAAAAAAAATCCCCCTTTTTCCTTTAAAGCCTCATCTCGAATACCTCCGTTTTTGCATATGATAAACTGCATCTGATAACCATTACCCTCTGTCGTCACTAAAAAAAACCTGCCCCCTCTATACCCTTCCCCCCACAGAACAGTTAATCCCATCATCTCCGTCGCCACTCTTCTCTTACGCTGTTCCTCAAACGCTGCCCAAGGCCTGTCACCCCCAAAAACTCTTTCCCCCCACCCAAAACTCCACGCCCTCAAAAACTTTCATTTTGCAAATCCCTGAACCTCCTTTTTATCCCTCAAAAATGTCCCCCGGTAATGCACTCCCCGGGTCGTAGCAAGCTCTAAAATGCCCCTCAAAATAAGATTGGGGACCCTATTAACCGTTATTTCCCCCCACTCGAATATAAAATTCCTTAATACGAGATTTCGCCACAGAGTCCCAAAACTAACCAGTTTACTATTCCCAGGCGCCCCCGCCCCCAACTCCCCACAATTGAAAAAAATGACGTCGAGATTTTTCCCGCAAAAATTTTCATTCAAAATTCCAAAACCCTTACACCTTCTTGGCAACCCCTCCAACCAATCCACCAAAACACCCCTGTGATCAGAAAATTGTCCCTTACCCCCACATTGTATAGAAAAGTCCTGGACGTATAATCGATCGACCCCACCGATACCACGCTTAATAAATTGTGCTCCAACCCCTCCCTCCCCCACATCTGTCAAACCTACCCGAAAACAATTTTTCCCCCAAATCCTCAAAACAATGCCCTGCCCCCCCCCGGGTTTAACATCCTTACTCCTTACAACAGTTCCGTCACCCCCTTCACGCAACCCTGGGAATCCCCGCAAATAAAACCAGAAGCCCTCAGAATTTATTCTTTATCCTCACATCTCCCCGCTGGGCCATAACCACACACCAACGAAACTGTACCCGACCCCATAAACCCCTCCCCACGAATCACCCTCCCTCTCCCCCCTCACATGCCTGACAAACCAAAAGGGTAGTTTCTTTCACCAAAATGGCCAAAACCCCCCTTTCAAAGACTGCATGCTCAAAATACACATTTTACCCCTCCACCTTCAACTCAAAAACCCGGGCTTAAAGTGTTCCTGCAAGAAAACAACGTCAACATCATGACGCACCAAAAATTCCCCAAACCCCCTCCACTTTTTTTGAGACCCAAAGCCATTGTGTTCATGTAGGGGACTTAAAAACCCACAAAGGGGGTTTCCCTTGACACTACCCACTTATCACCTGATCGTTTCATTTCATCTTTTTCCCTCCCCCCCCCCCTTTTTGGCCACCCTTTACCCCAACCCCCGCCCTGGGCGCCATTGAACCCTTTGCATGGCTTCCGCCCCCTGTTTTCTTCCAGGTGTTGTGCGGGGGTAAGCACGTCGTCAGAATAAAAACCTGCTGGGGCTTTCGCGTCGTACCCTCGCCTGACAAGTTCCAGCCGTGCCCATGATGAACCTCCACCCCAATTTTTCACCAAATGGGCTCCTTTTCGACACACTTCAGGCCGGGCTGGCATCCCACGTCCCAAAAGCGCCCGCCGGGCGACCAACACCCCTGCAAGGCCCAATTCCCAAAAACTCAACTCGACCATGTCCGGTCGTACCACCCCGCAGGACCTCCCCCTTTACCCAAAAATGTGCTCCCCCTTGGGGCCCTATCTCCCTTTTTTTCCCGGGCCCTAAACCTCCTCCCATGTCAAACTTGTCAGGGCAGGGGTTGAAAAATTTGTCGTCCCCCCTTTTAACCTTTTCTCTCCTTTTCCCCCGGCCTTTCACCCTTCCCCATGTAAAACCCGCCAAAAGGAGGGGTTTTTTTGACATGTTCCCTTCCTTTTCCTCACACTCGTGGTTTGCTGGGGGTTTTACAAAACCCCCCTCTTTCCCCAAAACGGGGCCCCGTGCCACCCGCAACGATGTTTGTGCCGTATTTACACATAATGAACCGGATGTCAGATGCATCCGCCTCGAACGGCACATTCCTGATCTTAACCCATGTGTAATAGCTGGACACATCATGCAGCCTCACCGTCACAGCATGATTAACTGGTATGGCCACCTCTTGAAACTTATTCACAACTGCCTCATACACAGTCGCCGAACTAAATTTTACAAAAATCCTCTTCGTACCGTTCAGTGCCAGTCCACAAATCTCCTCATTGGCTATTCCGTAGGTATCTCTGATGATTGCAGGCAAAAGCAACTCCATTGATGGCCCCGTTACAGCTCCACTGGTTAATTCAATGCAGACAGTATTTACCCTGCGCCGGCGAGCCTGCGGCATGTTGGTGAAAATAATACTGCCACCAGACAACTCCAGGGGGCAGAAGCAGCACACGTCCTCTCCACTCAAGGGTTAAGAGACAAATGACTAGTTATACAACTATGACGGTGTCGGGAATATTTGCCTCTGAACAGTGACACACTTTCCTGATCTCAAGTACCAGTTAATCGTCAGGCTACCTTGAGCACTGATGATTAAGACACGTGTAATAGTTCGGTATCTTTACCGTGGAAACGTTTCGCCTACACAGTAGGCTTCTTCAGTGAAACAAAGGCATTAGGTGTAGTAGTGAAATGAAGATGATGTAATCAGTCCTTCAGTCTTAGTTGGTAGACTGATTACACTTGTAGTTAGATGTTCATGCAGCTCAGTACACTCATTTCAAGAAAGGCCCACAAACAATTTAGCTGAGACAGCTTAATCATTGACATGATTGCTGCACATATGATGTAGGCTGCAACAACTGAACAGATTTCTCACCTCTCAGTCATGCCAATTTCATTCCTTTCCTAGAACTTTCTTTTAGTAGTCCTCATTTCTATGCCTTGTCCGCCCGTATGTCCTTAGTCAAACCGAATACAAGTGCATTTGCTATAAGCTGGAAGCGTTTCGCAACTTCTCTTCGGTTATGCTGTGGGTTCAGTCCCTGGATTTCTGAATATAACTGATACTTTTTTGACTGATGTTATATAAGTATCAGTTACTTCTATACCTGATATCATAGAAATAACAAAGGATTTTCCAATTTTTTTCAACTCACCCCAGAACGCTTGAACTAGATGGGAAGTTTTCTACGTCAGCGGATAAACTGCCCCAAGCTATTGGAGTTCCGAGTAATTCCCAATAATATTTTAATTACTAATTACTAATTGTTTCAAATAGGCCATGAAGCATAATCTTACATTCCAAGAGGATGTGTTGATGAATATCACCAAGTTGCTCACAGCTGTCCACTGTTGCCAGATCTGAGTTGTATTCTGAACTGCTCAGGCTCCTGCAGTAGTCTTTGGCATCATTCCTGAAAAATTTAAACTAGAAAACACCAAATATGGCAATATTTTTTCTCCGTAATATTGTCCTCTCTTATTAAACATGAGGCACGAAATTTTTCTAATTTAAGTGTCTGAATGTATAAGATGATAAGTCTTTCTGATGAAGAGTTTTGCTTAAATTGTAAAGGAAATGGCAATATTAATATTTTCCTTATGAGGTTCTTCGGAATAATTTCCTGTTTAGTCTTATATTTGTAGTTTTTTTTCGTTGTGACCTAACCTCTCCTAAACTACCCTAACCCAACCTAACCTGACCTAACCTACCCTAACCTAACCTAATGTACTCTAATCTATGTGAAGACTAGAGGGGTGTCTGTGGGTTATGACTGATTAGGTTAGTGATCCAATCAAGTAAGTTAAGGAATTCAACCCAGAAACCTGCCGTCCCATTTCTGTCTACCTGAATTCTTACCTCTAGATTAGGCATGGGGCAGTATGTAGTAGGCTGGTTGCAGATATGTTAAATCTCTGGTGGGCTGGAGGCTGTGGTAGCACCTCGGCCTCAGTAAAGTGCTAGGAATATGCATTCAAGGTACAGTATCATTGATACTTCAGCAGGGAATCCCCGAGAAGCCTTTGTCCATGAGGGAAGCTACAAATTAGTATAATAGATAATAGTGAAGAGGTCTAATTCGCATTGTAATGTGTTGGTCAAATGATAGAGTACTCTGCACCTAGGCCTGTCATAAGTTGTCCTAATTAACTAGGCTGTAAATTGGTCTGCACAACTGGGCAGCTCATGGTCACCGGCTTCACTCGCGCACAGGGTTTATGGTGACTAAGTCAGGTAGGCAGGAGCGGGTCGCTCTGCAGGCAGTGGGAATTCCTGGCTGGTTAAAACAAGTGTCCAATGTTCACAGTCGTGTAGGTTATGAGAGGTACTAAGCTAAATTACTCTATGTTTAACTCTAACTTAGCTAAAATACGTATAAGTAATAGTGTATTATATTACTCTATGGAGGTTTCTTTACTAGATTAGGCTTATAAATTAAGAGTGTATAAACAAATGTGGCACAAACGAGTAGGCATACGTGGGTCACTGCTCGTCCCCCTCCTTCACCCCCACTTAAAGAAGTCTTGGAAATCAGCCTGTTCAATGATTTCCCACAACCTCTCTCTACGTATATATATATATATATATATATTATATATATAATATATATTATATATATATATATATATATATATTATATATATATATATATATATATATATATATATATTATATATTATATATATAAAAGAGAGAGAGAGAGTGTGTGTGTGTGGTGTGGTGGCAGGGCAGTGTTCAGAGTTAAATTCTCGACTTGTTGGGCAGAGAGATACATGAACTAAAGTAATTATACAGTAGTCTACAATAACTCACCAGTTCATATAACCCTCGTGGAAGTATAAGCACTCGTTGCCAACAATTACGAAGGGGGAGTGACATGCTGGCGACACAACAACATGATTATTTGAAAGAATAAAATGTATATTAGAAGGACGTTTGTATAACTTTTATTTTTATTTCACATGATTCTTTCAGTAGTTCAAACAGATCTGAAATAGAAGTATACATTTGAACTTATATATAAAAGTCTATACAATACAAAAGATTAAAAGACCTATAAGATGTGAATTTCTTGTATTAATCTCACACAGAACAAATGATGCCAAGTTATTCTTCTCACAGATTACAAGTCATCTACATATTTTTCGTCAGTACAGTTCATTAAAGATTTAATATTTCCTACTTTATTACTGTGTATCTAAGCAACAATAATACATTTTTAGTCTTATTTTTACAATTTTTTTAGACATTCTTTACAAGAACGGGGTGAGGAAAATGAGTGAGACCTTGCAAGGAGGAAGAGATCCCTTGATGTTATGTAAGGACTCTTGATCCGCTCCTCGGATCAACCTGATTACCTCCTATTACGAAGATGTATAACAGTTATAGGTTCAGCGCTTCCTCTTATATATAATAATACTAAGAGTGTGAGGGCTGCACCAACCTCAAAACCCTTGAGTGTTATCAGTTAGAGTGTGATAGTGTAAAAATAATTTTATATACGAATAATTTTTTTTTTCACAATTTTACTGTTTTCATCATCTCTGAAGCGAGAAACATTAACAATCTCAAAACAATTAAAAATGATAAACTATGTTGTATATATCAACATTATCAAAGTTTTAAATCAATTCAGGCCAGTGTTAGGAACAGAGATTTCCCTCTATCTGTGTAGTATAAGAGAGATGATAGACATATTAACTCACCTGCGAGTGTCTTGATACCACGTAATTCACGGCCGTCAGCAAGGAACACTCTGCACGTCCACTCTCCAGAGTCCTCAATGCTTACAGAGTCTATAACGATACCGCACTGATTGTCTGTTAGGTCCTCAGGCGCTCTCATCCCTGGATGAACGCCTTTGTGGACAGCCGTGGCCTGTCGGAATTGTTATGGTGTCATTTTTATCAACATCTGTGGTGAAGACAAGCTCACTTGTCAACCTTAGTTATGAGAAACTCTATACTCATGAGAAAGACATACTGTGCACACCTTATTAGCTGCAAGGATTTGTATTGTCTTTATATAGTTGGCGTAACATCTCTACTGCTTATCAATAGCTGTGTTTTTATTAAAAACTTTAGGTACAACCCTCATTATTCAGTTACAATTATATATATATATATATATATATATATATATATATATATATATATATATATATAATATATATATATATATATATATATATATATATATATTATATATTATTATTATATTTCAACATTGATAAATTAGACACATGTGCAACTCTTGGGTATCTTTATTAAGGAAACGTTTCGCCACACATTGGCTTCATCAGTCCATACACAGGAGAAGCTTGAAGAATAGCAGGAGAATTAGGTAATCAGTCCCTCAACCTTAAGTCGATGTGGTCAGTCCATCAATCTTGAGTAGATTGATGGACTGACCACATCGACTCAAGGTTGAGAGACTGATTACCTCATTCTCCTGCTATTCTTCAAGCTTCTCCTGTGTATGGACTGATGAAGCCACTGTGTGGCGAAACATTTCTTTAATAAAGATACCCAAGAGTTGCACATGTGTCTAATTTATCAACGTGTCGGTTCTGTGAACCATTCATCTACAATTTCAACATTAATCGGGAAGCGCTAAACCCATAACGCTCATACATCGACCTGGAAATGGGACGTAAACAGGGTTGATGTGAGAAAGAGAATGGAGCCTCTAAATCTTTGAATCACAGGTACAGCCACAGATTCTAAGTTCTTTTCTTCTTTGGTGGGTAATAGTTTCACATCTTTGATTCGTGTAGTAGTGTTGTTGTGCTATATTATATTGACGTCTGACGTTTTATTTTACATATCGTGTCGCTTACAATACTTGTCCACAATATCGTATTACCGTACCGTATACGTAGTCTCTTAATTTAGAACAAATATTGCAATTCCCTTTTCATGTTATTTGTAAGGATTTTTTTTTAAATCATTTATATGATTTTATGATTTTATGATTTTATATATATATATATATATATATATATATATATATATATATATATATATATATATATATATTATATATATATATATATATAGTATATATAATATATATATATATATATATATATATATATAATATATATATATATATATATATATATATATATATATATATATACATATATATATATATATATTATAAAATATTAATATATAGGGAAGTACCACCTCTATAGCTGGAATGGGGACCCTCATCCTCAGAGAAGACAATAAACGTACCTCAGGGAAAACTCAAGGTTCTCCCTGGAGCTGTTTGAATATTTTCTTCTTCTTCCACCCCCTATATATTTTATATTCTATGTGAACATTTATTAATAAACAGAATACATTTACAGAAAAAACATAAAAATGAATACAATGGCACAATGTATTAAAGATCATGAATTTCCTCCAGCTCCTCCGAGGCTGGACGCAAGCCAAGTATGCAGCAAGCATTTCCCCTCTGGATGGCTACGCTGAGGCGCTGGTACATGAAAGTGGCTGCCCTTGGGTCCCTTGTGGTGTCGATGAGTCTGGAACCCAATTCTTTAAGGAAACGTGTGGTAGTTTTTCCCCATGATCACAAGGTCTCTGATCCCACTGGGACAAATTGATACTGTTGGCTAATGTCCCTGTACTTGCTGATTTTGTACTCCTCCGTGTGGTCAGCAACTCCTCCCTGTCGCCCCACACTGTGATGGATATAGGTGTCAGCCAGTGTGGACACACAGGTATAGTCCCATGCTAAGAGCTTGCCATTCTTCCAAGGATAGATTGTGATCCCGTCGGGGCGGTTTGCTGGGTTGTTGGTATTGTTGGCTGCTAGTGATCAGGGCTCCCTCTCGGCTGGCCATCCAGCTGTAGCAAGGGTTCTCTTAATGATGTCGTTGACCTCATTGTGTCTTGCATGCCAGCCCTTGGTTTTGGAACAGTTAAGACCATGTAGACCGTATTGGTCTGCTTGTGCTTCGCCGCAAATACACGTATATTCTGTGTGAATTGGGGCAGCAAGGCGCAGAGCCTTATCGGCATTCCCATTGCCGATATGTGAATTGTTTGGAGAAGTCCCCTGAGTGAGGTGCGCTCACAGCCTGGAGACGGGCAATCTGCCTATCTGATGTTGCAGCCCTAAGCATGTTGGCAAGCACCTTTTCAGCAATCGGGCCATATATATATAATTTATTTCATGTCATACACCATCACACAGATTCAATACATATCATTATCCAAAAGATCAGAAAAAAATAAAAAAATCATAAAATCATATAAATGACTTAAAAAAAATCCTTACAAATAACATGAAAAGGGAATTGCAATATTTGTTCTAAATTAAGAGACTACGTATACGGTACGGTAATACGATATTGTGGACAAGTATTGTAAGCGACACGATATGTAAAATAAAACGTCAGAAGTCAATATAATATAGCACAACAACACTACTACACGAATCAAAGATGTGAAACTATTACCCACCAAAGAAGAAAGGAACTTAGAATCTGTGGTTGTACCTGTGATTCAAAGATTTAGAGGCTCCCTTCTCTTTCTCACATCAACCCTGTTTACGTCCCAATTCCTGGTAGATGTATGAGCGTTATGGGTTTATCGCTTCCCGATTAATGTTGAAATAATAATAATAATAATAATATTATTATAATAATAATAATAATAATAATAATAATAATAATAATAAAAATAATAAAAATAATATATATATATATATATATATATATATATATATATATATATATATATATATATATATATATATATATATATATATATATATATATATATATAATATATATTTATATATATATATAATATATATATATATATATATTATATATATATATATATATATATATATATATATTTATTATAATAATATATTAATAATAATAAAAGTATTTCATTAGAATTACTCGCATTGCCACACTTACAAAAATCGCTGTAAATAAAGTATCTGGCAAATTGCAGTTTCGAGCACCATGCACCGTTAGAAGTTGTTAAAAGTATGAGTATTTGGTTGGACCTCTACAACACATCACTATGAGTTTCACAGGTTTGCTGAACTCTGAGAAATATTATGTGCATCAAGGTGTAACATCATGAGCCGGATAACAATCTGGACATTTTCTTTCACTAATGCATAAACTTTCGGACAAATATTGCAAAATATCTAAACATTTATGATAGCTTTAGTTATGAGACAGTTATACTAAAAATGTCCAATACCGATTACGTGAAACATAAAGACTTCAATACTGTCTTGTGTACAGAAGGTGTAGAAGTAGGTTCTGCAAAGAAAGCGATAAAGATATGTATATGATTGGTGTGGAAGAGTTGAGAATTGAAAAGTCAGTTCCCCGAATAAAGGGGTTTATAACCACTTGTCCACTTGTCGAGGTCAGTGTCTAGACGTTGTCTCTTGTCAAGGATATTAAAAGTAACGTCATAACAATTAGAATAATTTTACAAAATCCTTTTATTTTTTTTAGAAAGAATTGTTAAGAAACAGAATGTAATACAGATATATCTTATATGGTGAAGATGACATTTTAGCAGCACAATAAATTCCTAAAACCTCAGCAATATTATCAAAATATGCGACATCTCTTCCATGCAGCTGAACACAGTGTGAGTTCTAGTGAGATATATTACCATTAATATAACATCTCTAATATATTATTTATGGAAACAGCAAAGCTTTACGGTACCTGGAAACTCCTGCCATTCTCATGGTCCCAGATACAGAAACTGAATTCTTGCTTGACACCGCAAGAGAGAGTAAGCGATTCCCCAGGGGTTGCCTTCACCTCGGCGGCGTCGAAGATGAGGGAGGCGTTTACTGTAGAAGAAGAGAGGTACGAGTATCAGCACGACTCATGTTTACATGCACACACATGTTGTCCACTGAGTTCATACATGCTGTGCGATTCTATACTGACAATACTCACCTGACGCCATCACCAACGACAGCACAATTATACTCAAAGCGTAGCTCATGTTAACCATTTCTTAATAACTCCGTGAGTATAGCTCTTGCTGCGTCAGTGGAAATTATATACCCACTGTCGGCGGCGGTGCTAGAAGCCAGGTGTTTGGTTTTCATTGGCCAGGTCGATAACAAGAAAAACACTATCACTTTACATCACTAGTTTCTCGAATGCATGATAAGAGGCGAAATTTACTTTACAGATAATCATCAACAACTGGAGATGGTCCCATGACATGCATTTGTTTGGTAAACAGTTGCTGCCTCCTCGGCAGGTACAGTCGTCCGTAGATAAATATTTATAGCATTCGAGAGAGCTATGTTTAATGATAACTCCATAGTTTTGTGGATTCTCAAAGTATATGTGCTTCTGTACTGTAAACAAATTTAGCGTCGGAATCACTATGAAAATTACGAGCAGAAATCTGGAACTTATATTCTCTATGAGATCCTTTGTAACCGTTCACGGCTGTATGATAGTGAGTGCGTCCTCCAAACATAAGATCATTTTCGGCTAGATGCATTCTTCAGGCGCTGAATCCTTAAAGGAATAAAAAAAAATTAGCTAGGATAATCAGAAAATGTATTAGGATCAAGTCAATACGGGATTTTTTTTATTCTTAAGTCTGGCAGTTATCAAGCAGAACGAGAAGAAACACATTACAGTAGCTAAAAAATAGGTATTATTGTAACAACGTTCTCACACGTTCTCGCACTCACGAGCGATAATTAATTAAATAAACGAGAAGTGGATATTTATTTAAGTGAAACTTCTATGTTTCATATTCATATGCTTTTGTTTAAATCATTCTTGACAGTTGAATTTATCTAATTTTGAAGTGACGCTGTTTTATATTTTGTTTTGTGAACAACAGTCTGCGTAAAATTAGCAATAATGCTGAAACTACTCAAGGGTAGGGAAGCTAGGTCAGAATAAAACAGGGCTATATGGGTAAGGATGCTGAAGTCAGTAATCATACAGAGCTACATGGGAGGATGGGGTGCTGAAGTCAACACTCCTTTCCTATGCTGACCATGAGATGGTCAGCTTTGTCTCTGTGGTTTTCACAGCAGTTTTGAGGTTGTGTACCTTACAGACAAATTGTGTCCTGGGATTCTAGTTAAGAGGTCAAAAAAAGTTTAATCAACACAGACTTTTCTGCAGCCTCCACATGGTATGTGAAGGTTGCAGGTGCCAAGAGGTGTGACTTGGGCCTAGACATAGAGCTGATAGTTCAAGAGGAGACGTTTTTTACGTTGCAAATATTATGTTCTGATGGGGCAATGATTTCAACGGTAGGGTTAGTAGGGGAAAAAGTCAATACCTGTATAGCACTATTTCTGCTGGGCAATTAGCTGTATCATTAGGCCCAGAAATATCGTAGGCAAATTGACTTTTGGAAATTCTGAAAGTGGATCCAGTACATCAATTATGGATCATAATTGTTACGCCTTTCTGCAAAGGCAGATGATAAATATGGATTCTTTGTTTCCTGTTTTGTTGAGAAACGGTCGATGAGTTAAAATAATTATTAGTTAATTTGTATGCTCACTTATTAATATATATGTATGGTATATTTTTGCAGAGTTGAGCAACTGAATGACATTGACAGAGTCGATGAAAGTTTTAATTAATTCCAGGCTAGGTGAACTATGTTGAGGGAAAGTCTGTTAATGAATATACATAATACAGTTTTATACATATTTATTTCTATATAGATTTCAAGAGAGCAACTATACGAAGGTATAAAATAAAACAATATTATAATATACTTTTTTTAGCATACTGAAACTTGGTTAAAGAATTCTTTTATTTATAACTTGTAGTTATGGGAACTTCCTCACAGAGGAAGGGTCCAATATTTTCACAATCGTAATCATAATAGTACCCGTAGTCTTCTTCCAAGCACAAGCAATTCGCAGTCGTATCTATTAAAGGGTGTCCAGGATACCAGAAGGGTACACTGCTGGGCACAGTGTCGCCGTTTACCCAGTGCCAGTTGCTTTCTTCATTCATATCAGAACCACCAATCCAGTGCCAGACTGGTTCATCTACAGAGTGTAAAATTATTTAAAATTAACATATATCAAATTTTGTATGTAAACAAGAAGCATATACAACACTCACACATTTATTATAATAAATGTGTGAAATTAGCCTAGAGTCATCCACACCATCGTGTGTCCTTGGGTAGGGAGTACCACATCCAGTTCCGCTGGATGCCCTACTCTTAAGGATCGTATGGTCCAGTGGATTAGGGCGTCATGCGTTTTCGCCCACCATGGGGCAGGCCAAAGCAGCATATATATATAATATATATATATATATATATATATATATATATATATATATATATATATATATATATAAGTTTTTCTTCTCTTTTTTAGTAAATGTCTACAGGAGAAGGGGTTACTAGCCCATTGTTCCCGGCATTTTAGTCGCCTCATACGACACGCATGGCTTACGGAGGAAAGATTCTTTTCCACTTCCCCATGGACAATAGAAGAAATAAAGAAGAACAAGAGCTATGTAGAAAAAGGAGAAAAACCTAGATGTATGTATATATATATATGCATGTGCATGTCTGTGAAGTGTGACCAAAGTGTAAGTTGGAGTAGCAAGATATCCCTGTTATCTAGCGTGTTTATGAGACAGAAAAAGACACAGCAATCCTACCATCATGCAAAACAGTTACAGGTTTCTGTTTCACAGTCATCTGGCAGGACGGTAGTACTTCCCTGGGTGGTTGCTGTCTACCAACCTACTACCTGAAGGAGGGGTGTTAATGTTGCAGTTTAAAAACTGTAGTGTAAAGCACCCTTCTGGCAAGACAGTGATGGAGTGAATGATGGTGAAAGTTTTTCTTTTTCGGGCCACCCTGCCTTGGTGGGAATCGGTCAGTGTGACAATAAAAATAATAATAATAATAATAATAATATATATATATATATATATATATATATATATATATATATATATATATATATATATATATATATATATATATATATATATATATATATATATATATATATATATATATATATAAATCAGAAAAATCTTGTAGCCTGTTGGCACAGCACTCTTTATTGACGATGTAGGTTTAGTAATTAGTAAAAGTGAAAATTTGCCGAAACGATTAAGGTTGTGTTTGAAAATTTCTCAGTACTTTAAATAAAAATCTCAGATTTCTCATGAAAGTTGACTCCTGTCAATACTTCCAGTTATGTGCTGTTGAGAATATTACTTCCAACCCTTTCTCGTAATGATTATGATGTTAATTAAGCAAATATTGCACGTAATTGGCGACGGATCACTCCTGGTTTGATATCACTGAGAATATGATGCCTGGTCTAGCTAAAAAATACAACTCAGTATGGATCTTACTGCTGCATCATTATAAAAGCTGCATACTTGTCTCTATGGCTAAGGGTATGAACATACAAGAGCCCATAAATCTTGCATCGGCACACCAGTGTACAATAAATTTTTAACCACCAAAGTAGGTTTTAATCTTCCAAACCCAATAGGTTTATTGAATTTAGAAAAAATATTAAATTCTAACTGATTTGTCTATAATGAGATTCACAACTGTAATTCAAAAGGCTGAATAGGTTCGGAAATTATCGAGTGGCCAGTCACCTTCTAAGTACACAACCCCGTTTCCTTCCAAGATGCTTCAGAATTATGCAGAGGCATAAACTGGATGTAACTAGCAACTATATCATTCACTTCATTTGTTGTGGGCGGGTATGGTTTATATCTTATTATTTTTTCCATCCTTCCATATATCTGTCATCACTCTTGATTAATTAATGTTGTGTCTCTCTGACATTATTGCTATCTGCTAAGGATCCTACGATACTTTTCATGGAAGGTTAAGTAACTTTAGTCTGTTGAAAACAATCACTTTCACAGGAAATTCAGCGGCAAATCTACTCCGAGTGTGCATACGTGTTTCATAACCATTACTCTTTAGCCAAATTATTATTCAAGTTAAATCATCTCTAACTCTTGTAAATATTCATCCGAAAATAAGGTAGAAAAATACATGAAAAAGCATGATCTTACAGGTCATGAGGATGAACTGACGGATAATTCCAAGTTGGTCGCAGCTGTCCACTGTAGCCAGATCTACGGTATATTCTGAAGTGCTCATGCCACGACAGTAGTCCCTTGCGTTGTGCCTAAACAAACAATATTGCTAGGTCAGAGGGAATG